CACGTTTCGCTGGTTGGGAGGGACAGAAACGTTCGACTTACGAAGCACGTCTGGAGTTCATTTAAAGAATCATTACTGCACCGCTTTTTACATTTCGTCCTTCACGTTTCGTTGACTCTAATTGGAATTTACTTAGTTGGGAGGGACGGGAACGTTCAACTTACGAGTCACGTCTGGAGTTCATTTTAAGAATCATTACTACACCGGCTTTTAATACATTTTTGCACTGTTGTATTTTGTATTCTTTATATGATAATTTTATAGATAATCTTTATGTGACTATGCGAGGTTTTTATAAGAGTTTAAAGAAAATGTTAAACTAGATACGTGCTGTAATAGTAGAATAAAGGAAAACTAAAACTAAACTACGCTTTCTAAATTTCGTCCTACACGCTTCGTTAGCTCCAAAGGGGATTTATCCAATTGGTAGGGATAGAAACGTTCAACTTACGAGTCACGTCAGGAGTTCATTTAAAGAATCATTGCTGTAACTCGACGAATTAGTAAATAGTATCAATTCCTTGTGGTTCTAGTATTTAGCAAAGACTTTAAACCACCCTTTGGGGAATATCGGGGTACGGCGATTGAACCGAAGGACACATTTATCAGGCACTTGTCACCGGCCGTCACGGAACTGTGTCGTCCCAAAGACAATCTAGCGACGGCGACCGAAAGAGGCTCCCGTCTAACGATGATCCACGGTAGATAGAACGTCGCGCACGGCGGTGGAAGGAAGGGACGAAGTAATAGAATTAGTTCGACCAGACGAGGAGGCCTCCTCACTTAGCTCGCTATAATACGAGCCAAGTTCCGTCACGAAGACCTTAATATCCGCCACTTCCTCCGCACTCCCACTCGTTCGTTTGTTTATTCGATATCGTCCGCCGTCTTACGAGGCCGAGGCTCGCTCTTCCTGACCCCTTGCACGATACTAATTCCCTTTCCTGCTCTACAATACGTCTACGAATACGTGCACACGTACAGGGTGTCCACGCGATTAACTCAGAAACGACCACTCGCGAGGATACCTTTTTTTCGCATTCGAGTAAATTTTACTTGAAACGTCGCTTTTAAGTTACGAATTCACCCTCTCAGCATCGATTCCTCTTTCTTTCTTCTTGGCAAAGATGTTCTCAAAGTTTCTTTGCCTTTCTTTTATCTGTCTTTCGTACTTTCTAAGAATTTCTACAACTATCGTCGATACCACCGCTTGAAACTGTACAGCGTTGTGCAACCCGGCCATCTTGAATGCCATATTACTATCATTGACACTCGACTCGTAGAATAAATCGTTACGTCTGTGACCCTATTAAGGCACTCCGTTCTCTTTGTTGAAAGTAAAACTCTAACGTCATTGTTCCACACAAAAGGAGCATAGAAAGTTCACGAGAAAACAGCTAGATTCAAAGAACACGAAAGTCGGAAAATCGAAATATGCTTAATATTTATTTTAGCGTAAAAGAGAATTGGAAAAAATTGAGCGGAACGATCGAATCGTGGAACGAGCTCGCTTTCGTTTTAAATAAATTTTCATCGCGTCTGACGCGCGAGTGTAAGCGCTATCTTGGATCGACGTAACTCTGTTCGCGAGCGGGATGGTCTCACGGACAAATTCGGTTCCGGGCCGAGGCGAAATCCGATGTGGGTTAAATGCTAATTGGTCGAAGTCGAGCAACCCCGGTTGGCCGGGTCGTAGCACGATCGCAAACTACGATAAGAGGGAAACTACACGAAGTCCGCGCGTTCTTCTCCTCACCTACGTACTCGTGGCCCGACTGAGATGATCGCGACGCGCGATACTTAACTTCTCGAGCACTTTAATAGTTTAATTCTCTCTGCTCGCCTCCTGTTTGTTCTCCGGCAAAGATTCGGATCTCATCTTCGGGAATGCAATTAAGGGAGAGGGGGGGGGGGGCGGCTAATAGAATAGGGGATGTTGAAGGAAGTTGAATTAAACGAGGCTTTATATACACGGCTCGGAGATTCGTCTAAATCGCGAACTAACGCGTCGATTTTTTTTGAAACACCTTACTGAGACAGTTAAAAGATTCTTCAATTTTGTTTAGAAAAAAAAAAAGAAAACTTACTTTGTATGTGCAAAGCTTGTACTTTGGAATATGCAATTTCAGTGTCGTTAATGATTTTAACTGGAAGATTTTAGCAAAATGCATATCTCGATATTTCCTTGCAACGATGTAGATCCGATCTTTCGGAAAGATAGCAATCTAGATGTGTGTAAGGAGAATCTATCAACCGTGGTCTTTTACATAATGAGATAATGTTGCATGCGTGCGACGTATCGAGCAACTTGTTAGACCTGATTCTACTGGTTTGTCGATGTCTACCGCGTGCACAGTTCGAAATTTAATGCAAGATTTCGACTCCTTTTCCAATTATACAACGCAAGCTTGGTTTAGAATTCTACTATTCCAGGAATTAGTGTAGTATTCCAGGAATTGTCGATTCTTATCTTTGTCAGATTCATATCTGTGTCATAAACACTGAGAGTGAATGAGAAAGGGAGAAGTGTTCAACGTTTGTTGATTCTGTTGAGTCTGTTGATTAAATTCTAAACATTCCTTTAACGTTTATCTGTGTTTCTGTAATCGGTACGCGTCAACCATTTACGACTGCTATTAATCGAACGATTAGAATGTCTGTAGACTGAACAATTTTCCAATTATGATTAATATTATTATAATTAAATACGAATACATATTCGATTCAGATCAGTCATCGAAGCAACTATTGTAACTTTGTACTTGGAGCAACATAAGTGACTTCCTTTTAGCCTTCGAACGATGTGCACAAGTAAAGGTCATCTTTGCGCATTTATAATATCGCAGTATGATTGATAGTAAGAAACTTCATGAAAACAATTGCAAAAACACAAACACGATAAGTAATAGCAGCATCTGACGCAACTGGTAATAATGTTGCTCGTCCTTGAGATTAGAACAACGTTTGACGAACGAAAGTCAGCATTGACTAACTGGCACAGAAAATTACGTTCCGTTCAGGGTTGATTCACGAACTCACATTAAATGGACATTTTTGATTCATTCTCCTACCAAATTATTATACGCAAATTTAACGATAACATTCCCCTTTCTTGTTACGACAAATAGTAAAACTGGTTTCACTAAAAATGATTACAAAATGATTGGCCAAAGTGTTTTTAACTTCCATTTATGTTTCGTTTGTAAAGATATTCGTAAATTGGAATCTATAAATTAATGTTTGAAATTGTCGTTCCGGCGAACGAAGCTGCGGGTTAAGTCTAGACTTAGAACGTATCTAAAAATTTTGTTCGTTAATCGTGAATCGAGGGTGTCTCTTGAGAGCATTATAACAGGTGTTTCGATTAATCTGTACAGTTTTACAAACTTTTACACTCGCCATATCTACCCCTAAGAAGAATTTACAAATCGCGAAGGTCGATGAAAATGATGATTCTTAAAATGAACACGTGATTCGAAAGTTGAGCATTTCTATCTCTCCGGGTGCAGCTTAAAAAAGTTTTTATATGGACCATGACTACCGTAAAAAAAATTTGGAAATCAATGATGATTCTTAAAATTTCTATCGTTCGCAAGTGGAGAGATCCGCCTTGGAGCCACGAAAGAGCGACGTTCATCTTACGAATAATTACCGTTTCCCTGTGTTTCGCGATAAAGGGTCGAATTCCTAGACAACGTCGAACCGTTCCGACGCCGTGGCATTCTCCAGGACGTTGGAAAAGCGGCAAACATCCACTCGACATAATCTTTTGGAAGGTATAGCGGTATGAATAGCGGCGCCTTCCAGCCGAGATCCATCGACCATTGTGTCCATTATAAGTTTTTGTCCCCCGTTTGCAAGGAGGTTTCCCGTGCGTCTTGTGAGACTTTGTGCCGCTGCATTGTCGTGTTCTCTCTGTCTCTGTCTCTATCTGGTCGGGTCTGCGTTGCTCCGCTAACCTTTTTTTCCCTTTTCACCGAGTATAAGTTTACGTTTGGAAACCGCGGCGAGGCGCGCACGCCTGCATTCATCGGGAACATCGGTACACCTTTTTCTGCCGATGGTCCCGCACGGACGGGCAGGCGTAGTCGCGCGTAGCGAACGGCCGAGAGCCCGAACATGGCTGCTTTTGTCGGGAAAAAGAGTGGCTCTTTGTCTCGCGAAAAATCAATATCCAGATAAACGAACGATTTAATCGCTCCGGATAGATAATCGCCTTATTAAGCTCTGTCACGGTTATTACCGTCGGCCAGAAGTGGTAACGGCCGCGCATTACGAAGTCAGCGGACATTTGGATGAGCGATAATCGATTCTTGATGGCGTTGGTCGAGTGGGACAGGGATTCTCAACGGGGCCCGCAATCAGCCCCTGAAAGATCCAACGAAACGGGAGCTTCCGAGAGGATCACCGTAAAAACGGTTACCAATTTTGTTTAAAACGAGAAGTACACGGACGCGAGTACAAATTAAAATTTTGTTCACTTACAGCATACGATACTTACGGTTCGTCGATGGGAGCGGAATCGATCGTAAACAATGCGTCGCGCCGATGCTAGAAAGTCGTACGCTTTGTTTCCCGCGAGCTTCCCGCGGATATGACTTTTCCAAGACACCGGGTAGACATCCAGCAAGACGTGGGATAGTCGGTGGCTTCGCTTTAAGCGAGATAGGAGTACAGTTATCCATAAAAGTAGAGCATGCGTACGCTGACTCTAGAACGGCAGGTGGTGTCCGCTACCGCTGAACAAAGAGAAAAGGAGAAAAAAAAAGGAACTGGAACCTACCATCAGGACACTGCGCGTCCGTTTGGCGGTCGTTCCTCAGAAATGATTCGATAATTGACCGGTAAGCGCGAAACGGCAACTATTTGTCGGAAAGCTTCGCGACGGAACGGAAGAGGGTGAGGGATGGAAGAATAAGGCGGTACGATCGTCGTTTAAATTGAATTAATTAGTTATTATTCATATTTTATACAATAGTAATCATAATTAAGGTATTTTAGTCCTCGTAATATCTATATTCGTACAAGGGTACTCGATAAAATTGATAAATTGGGATCTGCCGTGTTGTTAACCTATATGTATATAGACGATTTCTGGCTTCTCTCTCTCTCTCTCTCTCTCTCTCGCTCTCTTTCGCGCTCTTTCTCTCGCTCTCTTTCGTTCCCATTTCTTTACACTCTTATCACAATATCGTATTTTACACAAATTTTTTCATTTACGGCTTACGTGCTAAGGGTGGGATTTGGGGGAGAGTGGGGAGGAGGAGGGGGCCCGGTGCAATATGTACACGCGTTCGGGGGTACGATCGCCCTGTCCACGGTGCTCTCGGATCGATCCCCGTGGCTTGCACCGAGACTAGTAACGCTAGTAAACTCTACGGACTCTTTCTCTCCATATTTTTTCATTTTCATTTATTTTTTTGTCGCCTCTTCGAAACAGCGCGTTCGCTTGTTCCGCGTTCGCTCATCGCGTTAACCCTTTGCACTCCGCTCGATGCTCGTTCGAACAAAGCTTAAATCGAGTTCACAAATTTTGTGAGGACACGCTCTAATTTTCAGAGTCCTACGAATGCAAAGGGTCGAGTCTTCCGGGATCACGGGACGGACAAAATTCTCTGGACAAAAATTTCAAAATGTGGAATCAAAAACCGATCGAACAGATGTCGCGTACGGTGGAAATTATTTTCGAGTGGAAAGATCGAGCACTCGAAAAGCACAAAAATTTGTCCTACGAAATTCGGTAACGATTAAAGAAAAACACACATTTCGGTAGTTTTCTCAGACAACCAACCATTTCCAATAGTAATATTTTTATCGATCGACGTTCCACCGTAGCCCGTGTTTCTGTTCGCTCATCTTCGAGTAAAATTTCGCCCGTCTCTGTTCAACGACCCGACGAAAGCGTGACGAAGCCGAACGAAGCGAACGCGTCCTCAGGCGTCGTTTGATTCGTCAACGACAGAAAATTGCGGACCGTTGGAGACGTTTGTCGACAACCTTTCGTCTCTTTTTCGTTCCTCTTTTTCTTCCCCCCCTGTTTTGCCCTCGCCGGAACCTTCGAACGGGGAAATAAACTCGCAGGATAACGGTTCCGTGGACATTCAACGGCACACGCGAGCAACACTTTCGTCCAGCTGCGTCGTTTTACGCTCTTTTCGTAATTCGCTCGCGCTCTGCGCGCAATTTAGGAACTGAGGGAGCTTCGTCTTAAATTATACACGCGCGCAGTTCTTTATTGCACCGAATCTAAAACGCGACCCGTCTCTTTGCCCGAGGTCGTTCCGCGCCTCTCCAGCTCTGCGGTCGGATCTAACGGCACTTATTAGCGTACACCGAGGAATCATCGTCGTCATCGTCGCGCTGGAAGTTGGAACGTTCTCCGCGAACCGGGAATCCCGGATCGATCCCGTGCGAATGATCGATCATTGTCCTTCGTTCTCCACCTTCTACGAGTTAATCCTTTGAAACCCTGTCGTCTACGTTTTCGAAGCCCAATTAAATCAATCAGAATATACTGTGGTAACACAGCCTCCATTTTTATAAATCAACAAAAATTTACCCTATTGTAGAATTTTGTTAAAGTAGAATCGAATGATTTTTTGTATTGGATACAACTTGGAGGGTTAGGTCTGGGATAGGGTCAGTCAGAATATATTGTAGGAATACAGTTCTTGTTTTTATAAATCAACAAAAATTTACCCTATTATAGAATTTAGTTAAAGTAGAATCGAATGATTTTTTATATTGGGTACCACTTGAAGGGTTGTATTTGTTAAAATTTATTTTTCACTTTACACCACGTTATTGGTCGTCGTATAATTTGGATTATAGGAAAAATTAACTACTTTTGTTAAAGTAGGATCGAATGATTTTTTATATTGGGTACCACTTGGAGAATTGTATTTGCTAATATTTATTTTTCAATTTATACCACGTCATTGGTGTTCGTATAATTTGGGTTATAAAGGGTTAAATAAAAACTCGATTGGGTTCTCATCATCCCCTAGTTAACCAATTCTTTAATTCCTGAGCCTACCTACCACGGAGTGCTTCGTCATTTTGATAGAACTCGGGGGAAGTACCGGAACGCAACTTCGTCGATCCTCGATAACGTTCAAAAACTTGTATTTTGAAATTTCCCAGTGGGCTACAAAATTCATAATTATCGTTCAGACAGTTCTATGGAACGACATTCACGAAGGTCTCTTTCCACAGAAAAAAATACTAAAAAAAATTGTATACCCTCGCAAAAGTTAACCTCTTCGATCTTAATGCGCACAAAATTATTGTAAACGATCCAATCGTACCGTGAATGGTAAAATCTCAATCTAGATAAAAATGTGGGATAAGGGGCAGCGGATTGTTCTATCGAGAAAACGTGACGAGTAAATTGTCGTTTCGTCATCTGTGTCTCTGACTCTGTGACTCCGGTTGTTAAACGAATGCAGACCAATTTCTGATGCTCGTTTAGAAAATGGTGATTCCGGTCGAGAAAGAACGTCCTTTCGAAAGGAATCCTTTAGACGTACTTAGTTTCCGCGGGTTTCGTGAAAGAGGGCAGAATCAGGAAGTGGAGGGACCGCGCGAGACCGCGTTCTCATGAGACGACCATTGTTGCACCGACACGCTGAAGGATTTGGGTCAGCGGTGGGGCTCGCTGGCCCTCCCAGTTTCCCGTGGTCGCAAACCGCAACCGTCTTTTTTGCGGTTTCGTGGCGTCTCTTTGAAAGCTAGCTGACGCTCGCGGGATGCAAGATGGCAAAGGTGACGCAGCATGGCCGACGGGAAAACAGTAAAAACAGCGTAAAACACGAAAGGTTTCACGGATACCCCGGAGCGCTCCGTAGTGGATGATGCGTGCCCCAAACGGAATTTTATCCTAACTCGTCCGCCACTCGACTATCATTAGACCCAGAAAATATTACACGTTTCGAAAGTTAATTTGTTTAACGATTACCAAAGCGAAACATAATTTCCAGATCGACGATACCTGCGATTTTTTGCCACCATTTTGAAATCGAGTGCATTCCTTTGCGACAGCGTGGCGCTTCTGACGCAACGGGCGCCATTTTACTCGAAAAAGAAAAACCATTAGAACTTTGATTAAACTTTCTAGAAATTTCGTGCGTAATAATTCGTACAACTATAATTGATACTACTGTTTGAACGATAATTGTGAAGCATACGATAGTGCAACGCTGTTATACGATTATCGAACAGTAAATTCTTGCGTTTATGGCTTCTGTTACTGGCCATTATCAGAGACGACGTACTGGCCATTTTCAAGGACAACGATGCACATGCACGAATGTACTGCAAGAAGCTATAAAGAACGCCTCTGAGTGATGTTCACGATGCGAGGGAATATTTTTTCGTCCATAAATTGTACTTTCATCCTGATCGGTAAATGTGAATTCCATCTAGAGGCAGTCTTCTCGACTCTTCGGTACCAAAAACATTGTGTATTCATCTTTATTATGTCACCCATCTATTACTGAGAAAAGTTTGTATTCTTTGAATGAGAAAAATAATTCCATGTTAAAATTTAGATTCAAATAATGCATTCAAATTGTATATTATGCAATAGACAGTTCAATCAATTTTGTTTTCATTAAAAGAATTTAAATGGCAACGACGTTTATTAATTTTTACGACATAAGGTAAGTTTCGAACGACTATTTACAACAACATTTATGTTAAATGCGTTTAAATTCTTTTTTAGAGTACAACGGGGCATCGAATCCGTTCGTTAATGTTTCTGGGGCATAAGAATTTATCATTTTGAAACGCATCCCACAGGTTGCGTATCCGAAGCAAAACAATTCACAGAATCTTGCGTTCGTCTCCGAAGAGAAAGTGTTACTACGCGACTTACATAAAGAAATAGAAGAGACGCGGTTAAGGAAATAACTCCTGAAATGCATGCAAATGTGTACCATGCCGCAACTGACCGATTTGACGTTTGCGCAGATACCCAGCAGCGTGCTTGGAAACCAGTAATTATAGTTTGTAAAATCTTTCTTATAGGTTCTCAGGTTTGTGCACAGTTCCTTACGATGCAGATAAGCGATTCGTTTGAAACTTAATCGATTTCAACGAAATAGGTACGTTTGGTACACTCTTACGTCGATCTTGAAAGAACAAAATTATGAATTATGAAAGCTACAGAGGACAATTATTACTTCTTCAATCGAAACCTTTGTTCCAGTCGGATCAGCGAGGCAGTGGACACGAAGAATGTTTCCACATTTGAAATTCGATCGAAAGGTCTTCGTGAATTCAACCCCTTTAAACGATTCGTTTAGTACATCGAAGTTCACACATTTTAAAACAGAGTGGAAGCAATTTTACCCCTATTTCTATATTTCTTACGCGTATAAGAATATTAATAGTTTAATACAAGTTGACACTTTGCGAAAAAAAATTAAAAAATATATATATGTAACTTGCATTTTTAATCAAAAAGTGTTAGTGACTTTACTGAACGAAGTAAACCATTTGCTTCCCAGTGATTTCAATATAGTTTTTCCATTTTTTTCTGTAACAGATCGATTATCGAATCAAAAAGAGATCGAGTACTAGAATTTTCAATGTTGACAGGTGTCGCGTTCTACAGTTTTCGCAGAAGATTCGACATAATTACACATTGCACGCACGATATATTTTAGCCTTGCGAGATAATAAAGGAACAGTTGGCACGTGGATCGAAATTTCATGTCATCGTTCAAACAAAACTGAAAAATATGTACAAGTTCTTGCGACAATGTTCTTTCAAACTATCAACTTCTAGGAACGTTTTATCGTTTCTACAGACAAAATTAGTGTATTTTAATTTAGTTTCCGCGATAACTCGTAGACCAATGCAGCAATTCTAGTCAGATGTTGGCAAATTTGAAACGATTTAACCTGCTTGTTAACAAAAAATCAATTCATTCACAAATAATAAAAATCTTGAGCGACACTAAATGTGATGAGAAGCAAGGGGACGTTGAAAAAGATGTGCCTCTAAGATATTGCTTGAAATAAATTGAAGACAACGACTCGCCGCCGTATAATACGCGCAAAAATATCAATTCAATAATTTTACCTTTCCATATGTAACAAAAATGTATGTTCCTCCTTTGATGACGACTTTTTTCAGATCAATTTTTTCATTATATCTTTATGAGAGCATCATCGATGGATCGATGATGTTTTCCCAATTAAAACGAGCCCAAACAAAACCCTATTCGGAGACGCTTCTATTTTTGAAATTCAAAAATTTTTCGTTCAACACGCGATTTGAACAATTGATTCGAATCTGATCGTATTTGTACTCATTTTCATCAAAAAAGCCTCACCGAATCTACTGATGAAACAATTACAAAGATATAAAGCAAAATGCTCTCGATGTTCAGCCAGACGGAAAAATTCTGTCCCGAACCAAGGGACTATAATCTACGAGTTCAAAAACTTTCGGCAATTTAAATATTTTAGAAATGAAAATCTATGAATCTCGACGAAATTTTGGTTGAAATCAGCGGAGCCTTCGGGCGTTGGCGTAGTCCCTGATATTGGCTGCGTTAAAAAAAGCGACCACGAATAATTATGGTACCTCGCCGTACCCTTTGAAATATACGAAACTCCGCGAAGAAAGCTACCTGTGCGAACGTGTTACGAATCGTGTGTCCACTCCTCCCGTACGATTCGCGCGCGTCTCCATCTCGGAGTTGGGTCCCCGCGTCGATTGCCCCATCCGAACAGGAGGGACCCGGTGATTACGTCGCGCCACCGTGATCGCCGAGATCATTCGACTCACGAAAATGTCATTAGGATTTCGTTGCCCGCCTCGACCGCCTCGAGGAACGGCTCGACGAAGTTTATGCAATGGCGTCCCCCACTCGTCGCCCCCCGTGTTCGTGTTCGTGTTCGTGTTCGCGTTACCCTTTTCCGTTCTCCGCCTCTCCGTGGCGCTCGTTTCGTCGTCGTTCGATCCGCGTAGATCCAGCTTCCAGCGCGAAGTGACCCGAAGACCCGATCCAACGTCGTCGACGATTGACATTTACCAAGGCAAACGGGGACGGGGGGACGCGGGTCTCGTGACGGACCCCCGGGGTAGCAGGGCTAGGTGGCGAAAATATCCCTCGTCCTCTCCGGATAATCGTTCGCCGGGGTTTCGAGAGACCGACCGCCATCTTGACATTTAACGAAGGAGATTGTCCCGTTGGAGTGCGTAATCGTTCGCGATCGTTCGACTTCTAGCGATGCTGCCTCGTTCCTTGCCATCGATCGACCCGTTGTTTACGTTTCCTAGCGTGACCGGCCGTCGTGCGATTAAAAACCCATTTAAGATCGACTTTGTATTCGTTGAATTTGTACTCGATCGCGAGAAAAGAGGCAGCATAGAGCGCGTCCTGGTTCCATCGCGAGGACGGACGAAATGATTGCAACGTCTAGGTATGGGAACGAGATCTTCCGGCGTCTCCGGGGTGGTGGGAAAGGAGGGGTTTGTCTCGCGCGAGTCGTGGTCGACGCTCCTCGTTTCCGTTGATGCCGTCGACCGGGAGCCATTTTTGCTCTCCGTCAACGTTTTGATCCTTCGGGAAACGAGCCGCGAGTTTCGTTCGTTCTCGCGTGCTTCGTCGCGCGAGGCTAAAATTACTATTATCGTTATTAGTTCCCTAGCGGACACGTGTCACGACGTCGCGATTAATCTTTCACTTCGACGGACGGGCCGCATGGGAGACCGGCCGGCCTCCCTTGTTAAACGAATAGAAACAATATTAACATCGAACGCGAATTCCATCGCGACAGGTGCTACACGTATTCACACTTTGGGGCTGGGCCGCTGGCGCGTCCGCGGCGCTACGAAGAAACGGTTCCTCCTGAACACAGCTCGAAGGACATCTTCGTTAAACCGCCGGCCACACCCTGAAAAATACGACAGACGAACGACCGATTAAAACCCAACCCTCGGAGCCACCGAGGGATATGTAAATAATCGAGGGGCAGAGACGTTACTGACCGATTTCTTAGCTTCCTTCGATCGTAATGAACTTTATGTCTATCGATTGAGACGTTACACTGTTTTCGTTGTGGAATACCAAGTACAGATATTCCTCTTTATGAAAAGAATTCTTATTTTATATTTTTCGACAGCTTCGAGCTTGATAAATATTATGGAATTCGAGTAGTATTTTAGGAAAATTACATTTTCTAAGTTTAGACACTAGAAACAAAGAGGCGTCTCTACCCCCGTTACTTTATATCTCAAACCAATTTTTTTAAAACTAAATCGAAATTGAAAATTTGTATACTATTGTTTAAAAATCTGCGGCTTAGACGATGCAGAAAATACTGAACTTTTTTTTTAGCCCAGTTTCACCAAGTTCGAGTCCTTGACTTTATCGAAAAGAAAACACTACCCTAAACGTCCTAGTACTAAACAAGATTTTTCTTATACAGACTGGACCGGAATTTGTAGTACAAGCGTGTGGGGGATGATTCCATGTGAACAAATGAGGAGAAAAGTTAGTATAACATTTTTCTATCCGGAGCTACGTTTTTGAGAAAATTTACTTTAAAGTTTGTTTATCTTTTTGAACGATTTAGTTGTCGTCCATTCTTGTATCGCTGTTGTTTCCGTCCGAGGTACTGTTTATAAACATTGACAATGATGGTCAATTTGATTTACTAGATAATTCGATTTACGATAGAAGACACAGTTTATTCAGATATCGTTAATTCACCGAACAAACCTGTCTATGCAATAAAGAGAAAGACATTTTCAGCAATACTTGTAATACTGTATTGTAGCATTGTAATAAAAAGTAGTAATAAAGAATACAAAAATAATTATCAAGTAAAAACACTTTGTACTGCTTTAACACTCGGACGGTGGATTTCACAACGTAAGCTCACATAAAATTATATGTAATTGATTGTTTTTACTGATTTCTATTGTCCGTTAGGGTTTCGTCGGATTCTTCAATATGATATTCGTCACTTTGATAATCTTCTGGTTCTCTTCTACTCTATAATTAACATTTTTCATAAGATGAAATTTCACTGTCACTATTACCTTCTCTATGTATCAACTCTTTAAAGTCTTTATTTTTTGACCATTGTTCTTTCTCATGGAATGATTGCAAAACGATATAACACGCTCAAATAATGATGATCTTTTGATCAGGACCCAGAATACGACTTTACGTTTAGAGGTCTCACAGAATACTGTCGAGAAATAATCTTCTGAGCCGTATTCGTTTCGTTACTGTTCTAACGTAAACACAAGGCAGGGCATGCCAGGTATCGAAGAAGTGAGCGTTTACGTCTAGAGTATTAATAACGTAAACACTATCAAAAATGTTATATCAAATTGTTTCCTTATATTTTCGCATAGAATCACTCCTTGCTGGGTTGTACTACAAATTCCGGCCCAGCAATATTTCGAAAAATATTCTAAAGCTTGGTGAAACGATGAAAATTCAGTGTCCTCCGATTGATCGAATGGTACAGAAGCGAGACTTACGTGAGTAGTGCGGGATTAGGATCCGCCTGGTACCAGGAGTACTGTGGCATGTAACTCGCGTGATGTGGCGGTGGCGGAGGCGGCGGTGGATGGTGTCCCGGCGTGTGGGGGTGGTGATGGGTGTGTGGCGGCGCGTGAGGATGCGGATGGTGCTTCATCTCGCCCGGCCAGGAGGGCGCGGGTGGGCTCTCGTTGTGCTGAGGCGACATCTCGCTTCCGGGGCTAGAACTACCGGGGGTGTGACCCCCTGCACCACCGCCCATGCCTCCGAGGTAGCCCGTCGTCGGACTGCCCGACACGGAACTTCCGCCTCCTGAAACGTAACGGAGAACGTTCGAGATCGATCTTCCAGATACTCCCTTATCTTTCCACTGACGCCGCGGAATGTATTTTTGGGTTGCCTCTACGCGATACGCATCTTCCATCGAGATAGTGCGAACTTTTAACCCCTTCACGGAACACTGACTTCGAAAAATATTTTACCGTTTTCGATTAGTTAGTCTTCTTATTAGTACTTTGCGCCAAGTTTCGCAACAACGAGCGACGAAGTCTTGTATATTAAAATCAACGTTCGTTCTTTAGCGTAACAAATTTAATCCTTAAGCGGACTCTCAATCTGAATCATTTTACTTAATGTTGATTTTTAACGAATTGGTAAATGGAAATTAACGTTTCTTTAAAGCATTTGATCCTTAAGTGGATTATTGGGACCGCTGCAAGTTTAAAATAATAATTGTTTAATATATGTCAATGTAATTATATGAAAATTTATGCAATCCTCCATTAGTTCATTGTTTTCTAAGTGCTTTAAAGGATAGTTGATTTCCATTTATCAGTTTGGTAAATATCAACATCAAGTAAAATAACTACATATACTATACCTACTATACGATTATACCTACATATAATAAATGATCGACTTTATATTCCAAGATATTTGCAAAAAACTTTGAGTATCATTACACTGAATTCGATCACCTATTATACGTATAGGAAAAAATTGTCAAAAATATCTTTAAACATATTTCAGGCCCATCAAAATGCGTGAGGGAGCGGACTTTCAACAGGTTGACCAAAGGAATGACTAATTATAAAAAATTTATTTAGTAATTTTATCTATCAATCTGAAATATATGAGAATATACGTAGTAAAACAATAAAGCGTATTATATGTGCTGTTGAAGAAAGTACTATTCCTGGTCCATCAACAGAACTACAAGAAAAGCGGATGAAACGTTCAAGTTGTCATTTGTGTTTAATAAAGAGTCGTGTCTTTTAAATTTGCCGAAAATGTACACAAAGAACATTCGAAAATAATTTGTAGCGACTGTTTAAAATAAAGAAGCATTGTATACTCTGTGTTTGACATTAGTCATAAATTAATCTCACCTACTTCAGTTTTCAGATTTCCAATATCTTCATGTATTTTTAAACTTTTTACACCATAAAACAATTGGCATTTTAAAGAATCTGTTGCATGGTAAGTGGAAGAGAAATATGGGCCCAACGATTAACCTAAACTTGAGAGTCCATTCAAGGGTTAAAAAATAATGAATAAATGGAGGATTACATAAATTTTCAAAGAATTACCGCCCCAATAATCCACTTCAGGGTTAAACAATATGAGTTTCAAATTATGCTTGTAACTAAATCGTACGCCCAGAGGTTGATACGAGATCGCTCGCGAGATTTATATTTTGTTGATTTTTCACAGGACTTTTTCGGGAAGATTGCTGGTCGGAAGCGGGATTCCAAGGATTCTTTTGAAAGTCACCGTGACTAGGAAGCTCCGATGAACGGCCACGCGTCGATAACTCGTTGCGAGCTTCAACGAAGCAACCAGTCGTATCACGAGGTCAATCCTGAGATGTGGATCGACAAGGTTGTCGAACGGTTCTACATCGGTGGCGTTAAGATTCGATCTCCCTAATTGATTTATACCTTCCGACTGGATACGCGAGTTTCGCTCGTGCCTGCGGATCAAAACGCCACAAGTGCCTCGGTATTTTTCGTCCCTGGAATCGCGGCGTCTATTAGTTCCAGACAGCCCAAGCTCATTTCTTCGGTCAATACTTTACAAAATGGAAAATTCTTTTCCCGTTCTAGATTACGAGACTCTTGATCGATCGATCTCCATGATACTTTCGGTATAATTAAAAATGTATCGTGAGCATGTCTATCTCCGAAACGACGCGGGATAATTATTACCTTGTAAACTTCGCAATACGACGGAGAGCGGGCTCGTTTTCTGGGAGCCAATGTCACCGGTCAGGGTTTCTTAAAGTCCGTTTTCACGTGACGCGAGACAAGATTTCGCAACGACCGTTCACAGTTGGTTTAACGCGACGCGACGTCTGCAATTGCAACGTCACGACAATGCTGTATTTAAGTTTTCACGATTTTTCGTATCTCGCAACGAACAATTTTTACTTTCAATGGCACGTTTTTACGATTTTAAATTATTTTTACCGAGCAAAAATTCATTCTCCCGAGATAATTAACGAAAGGAGTCGCATTTATTGCAACATCTGCCGCATCATGCGTGAAGACGCAGCTTTGTATCGCGTGAAAACGGAGCTTAACGGATCTCCGTGGATCCCGGTCGGGCGTTCGATATTATTCATAAAGCGATTATAAAGCGACTGGTACCTCCTTGCATGAGACTTCCGGGTTGGCCCGGTTGAGGGGATGGTCCTCCGGGTAGAGCGGTCCCACCGGCTAGAAGGCTGCCGTGCTGCCCACCGCCGCCACCGCCGCCTTGCTGGGCAGCCTTCATCATCTTCTTGTACTTACTCCTTCTGTTCTGGAACCAGATTTTCACCTGCAACAAAAATCGAAAGAACGCCCGGTCAGGTGAAACTCGTTTCGCGAGTTGTCAGTAGCTATTGCCCAGGAACGAACAGAGGGGGTACGAGAGGGGCGGATGGAGGTAGTCCGTCGGTCGGGTTGATGTACTATTTGACGTAGTTCGAGAGACGTGGGAAGCCAGCAATTTTCACTGTCTCTGCCGCCGTCCTTCCGTCCGTCAAACATCCGATAATTACAGACTCCGAAATAAAAGTTTCTGCGGGGTACACACGTACCGTGTAATGATACACGCTTGTTCGTTCGGCACATATCAGGTCATTTCACGAGTCCTTGCGTATTTAAGCGTGGCAAACCTTTTGACCCGCGCGTAAGCGTACTCCCATGTGTTCCAAATCACGCGATCCTCGAACGCCAAATGTTGAATCGAGCTTCAGCGAGATACGCGAGAAAATTACGTTCAAAATAAATAATCGAGGAACTCTTTCTAACGTTGGTAGTTGATCATAATATTATTTGTAACGTAAACAGAATAGGAGGCATTCTTCCGTCGACGATACGAAGTCTCGATGAAGGTGTAGGGGAGACTGGGGCTAGAAGTTCCGGGGATAAATTCTTTACCCCAAAAAGTCGGACATAAGATGATTTTTTAAATTTGACGTAAACTACAATCTTTTTGCTGTTTAAGGTAGTTAAATATGTGAGGAACATTTTAACAACATTCTTTTTTCATTTGTGCGCTCATCAGCTACCATGCTTCGTAGAAAGTAAAGAGATTTTATGGCACACGTTTCTACCTTACCTATTCTCTGAAACACTGTTCGCTTATTAATAATTTTTACATGTTCCAGTGAAGTTGTATAAATTTTTTCATTATGGAAGCTTTTCAGTTAAATATACAGGGTGTTCGGTCACCCTTGGGAAAAATTTGAATGGGAGATTCTAGAGATCGAAATAAGACGAAAATCAAGAATACCAATTTGTGGATTGAGGCTTCGTTAAAAAGTTATTAACATTCCAAGTTCCGCCTTTAGAACGACAATCTGCGAACAGCTGCGCATTGTTTACATTTTGAATCATTAAAATCCATCAATCCGTACAAAAGTTATGATTTTTTAAACATACGCATAAAATTTCGGGGCAACATTTCTGGTCACACATTATATTTTCGGCAATGAATTTTTTTCTAGAAAGTACGTAGGATTTCGAAGGTATGTGTATTGACCAAAAATGATTGTAATTGATCCCCGTAACTAAAACTAATTTTTTCTGAACGATTCGAAATTTTTTTTTCGCCGAAAAATTTCAGTACCTACTTGAATTTTTTTCTCGAAAGACCGTGGGATTTCGGTGGTATATGTATTCACCAAAAATAATTGTGTTTGACCCCTACAATAGAAAATAATTTTTCCAGAATGATTTGAAACTTTTCAATTTCGCCGAAAAATTTAGGCACTTACTCGAATTTTTTTCTCGAAAGTGCGTAGGATTTCGGGGGTATGTGTATTCAGCAAAAATGATTGTAATTGATTCCTGTAACCAAACATAATTTTTCCAGAATGATTTGAAACTTTTTCATTTAATTTTTGGATAACTTTTTAACGAAATCTCATTCAAGAAATTGATATTCTTGATTTTCGTCTTGTTTTGGCCTCTAGAATCTCCCATTAAAATTTTTCCCAGGGGTGGCCGATCACCCTGTATACTACACTTTCGAACAGCTTTTACTTTGTCTTCGTATATATTTATACAGTTATTAATACATTATTTGAAAATTACCAATAATTCAGTAATGTTCTTTACCATTATTTTGACTTCATTAACGATTTTGTTATACTGCAGGGTGAGTTTGAATGTGGCCTTTGAAGTTAGTTGAGTTAGTTGTCTGGATATCAGAACGTTTAGAAAGAGGAATATACGAAAAGAAAAGAACAGAATAAAAAGGGTTTCCGGACGATAAAGACGTGTCGTATAAAAATTAAATAATTCCTACGAAAGACTCATCAGTTTTCGTTGATTATTCTTTCTTTTTATTAAAGTTTGTTTGAGTTAATCGTTGATTAGTGGATAATTTTAAATGATATGAAACTCTACTAACAATATGATTGTTTCTCCGACATATACATTTGTGTCAATTCGAAATTAATAAACAAACCTTATTAATAAAATTGTGTTTTACTTCATCAGAGAATGAAATGTCTCATTAGAAAGTGATACCTCTTTCTTGGTAATAACTTACCCCAGAGCGATAACAACATGCCCCACGACGGGGTAAGAAGTTTCTGTGGCAATATATTAAACTTGAGCTGAAAATCTTAAAATATAATGAATTTAACAATAAATTAGTCAAGAGTGAAAAGAGTATCTACATTATTTCCTAGTTATTTTTTATGTTTTCTCAAAATTGGAACTTCTAGCCCCGATTCTAGGTCTCTCCTACTAAAATTGACGACTCGTCGTGTGGTGCCAGATGCAATCTTTTTCGCTGCAAGCAATACATCGCGAGGTTCGATCGTTTGGTTGGACCGGCGGTGTCCGACATAACGCGTCGTATCATCTCCAAAGCGCTACCGGGTCGATGAAATGGGGGAAAAAATGGAGACGAAGAAGAAGAAGAAGGAACTGCTCGTTTCGTAACTGTCGTTTCTTTTGCCTGTCTCTGCCTACACGCTGCATACAACGGCGGGTACGGCCTGCAGCGGATACTAATGCGCGTGTGCCGCTGTTAGGATTGCACATGCGGTATTTTTTTGTGTCTTCGCGATCTATACATACGCCGCGTGCACGTGACGTGCTGCTCAATCTTACGTAACCTTGCCTCATAGAGGCTAGGCGCTGCCGAGCGAGAGAAACAGACGGGAGGAACGTTCGTGTTTTACGCGGACTAAATAAACGGCGCTCTTACCCCGCTTCTGAAGAATTGCAGGAAGAGGAAGAACACTGTTCGCTCGGCTTTTTAAGGGAAATCGGCGCAAATTGCGTTTTCTTTCCATCCGCCGTTGTCGATTGGGAAGCACAGAGTCCTACGACTCTGCGGATTTCCACCGCTTATATTTTTAAATTGGTAAAATGTTTAAACCTGGATTCGTAGATCGAATGTATCGTAAATGAAAGATGAGATCCGAGTCAACGCCTGGAACTCGATAATTGGACAGGGGAATAGTGTATAGAATTAATTTTAATAATAAGTTTTCGTTTAAAGCGCGAGATCACCTTGACATTCTTAAATATTATCACTAATTCCTTTCGATACTACGGACGGGATCGAAACGAATGATGATGCATAATCTCGCTTTTAATTGCATTCTGTAGGAAAAAGACATTAAAGGTATACCATTATAGCGCGATGCTATAATAGTAGACTGAACGGACAGGCGATATAACAATATTTAAAACGCAACGTGATGCGTAATATTAGGTATTTGCAAACTGGTCAATATGTAGTCCATTTTGCGTGACAAAATGTTCTACCTTTTGTAATTCTCTTCTAGTTGCACGTATTACACAATATTTAGTTTCAAACATTAAATCGTGATATTATTTAATATTCGAGGGCTACTTGTTGCAAATACATTTCCACTGCATGAAATATCTACTAAATTTTTTCAGAAAAGTTTCAAACGCCAAAGTTTGATAATTTCGTAGCGTAAATTCTTACGGCTAAAAATACCGTAATAAAGTTTTGTACGTCAGTTGGCATAATTTTATTTAGACTCTACGATCTTGTGCGCAACCAGCAATTAACCACTCGAGAAATTGCAGATGTCGGGATCCACATGTAATTCGTAATCCGTGCATTTAGTGGCATTTTTAATGGTCGGTACTTATACCTTTCTATGATTGTACCTATACTTTCACTTGGCATGTTATTATTACTAATATTATTACTAAGCGTCTTTATTACGCCTACGTATATACATGATTATTATATAGATAAAATATAACCAGAGACCCAACCTGTATTCAAAGCTTTATCTCGAAAATGACTCGATAATCATATAGTATTATCTTCGTTTGTGGTAGATTTAGTACGATTGAGACATTTCCCTTGGAAAAAGTGATCACCCCTTATAAAAAGTTTACGTACAACGACAGTACGGTTCTCCAACGCCATCGCATGCATTTCTTCTGTGTTTGTCAAACGCAAACAACATGTATGCCTTCTTCGTATTGGAAATCTATTCGTTTTATACGTTTGTTTTCCAGACACTCGATCCGATCTCTACTAGAATTTAAAAAAGTCAAGATGGCTTCTGTGTCCTAACGAAAATCAGTAAAGTTCTGTGCAATGTTCAATCGTTGATCAATTTTACACGCAACTTTTCTTGTGTGCTCACGTTTTGTACATGTATGTATACGTTTGTTTACTAATATAGACAAGGTTATATATAAATACAGATAAAATGATAATAAGAGACGATAATCTTTTCGTTCCCTGCACGAGTATGTACAAGTTTTTCTAAAGATCCTCGTTTATATGACACAGTTTGTCACATACGGCTATAAGAATAGTAAACACAACGAAACATTTTCAAAGTTCTCGAGTTCGAAGACTGTTTTGGTGTCCACGATTGTTGACCTTACAACCGACAGTAATTCGGAGACTTCCTGGTTTCTAAATGTTTGATTATGTCGAGGAAAATTTCGAGCGTCCGAAACTTGTTCTAGAAATGGAAGATTCAGGTTCAAACTGAGGTAGAATTTAAACACCAGTACCGATTCGAGCGCGATTATTCGACGAACGGTTCGTTCCCCAGGTCGCGGTTGACGGGCACAAGGAGAAGACGCGTATCGTGACGTATGTCCCGCTCGTCAACCCTTGTTTCCGGCGTTGCGTAATCGTGTGCCGTCGGGACCCCCGGGTGCCGAGGCGTTCGCGCGTCGGCGACTTTTTACGCCTCGGGCGTCAATCAAAAACCTTACGGTTACTTTAATTAACTAAGTCGGGGGAGATGGGGACGCGGTGCTAGAGCCGCGAAGCAGAGGTGAGCTACGACAGGATGAGGGGAGGAGGTG